GCAATTTGTTCTAAAAATAGAAAAATTGTCCCATATCATAGGTGCGCGCGGATCCCAAGACTTACGGTCTCCGTCCCCGATTATGGCTCCTGGTTTAACCCAATTCAGCCTGTTTTTCATTCATTGGCCCGGGGTTGGGGCTATTTGAGATTTGCGTTCCTTATGTATCTTCAAAAGAGTTCCCTCGAAAGCAATCAAACTGTTTAGATAAGTGATAATTACGTGTCCTTTATGACGCCACCGACAGTGCGCCAAGATGACGTCACATATTTCAAAATGACCACCCTGTTGGATCCGCTATCCAAGAATTTTAAAGATTTAAAAAAATACAACAATAGTGTGTTAAATGCTCGATGAAAATGTAGTTGCCATAGAAACGTTAAGTCACATGATAAAATAATTGACACATCAAAACGTTCTCTGATAATAAGTTTGACGACTACAGTTTGGATGCTGTTTAAGTAAGAGAAGATTGAATTGTGCCCAGTACTTAATCTTGTAAATCTCTTGCAGCAAAATTCTAAGAGCTGTCTCCTTTCGAGTTAAAGGCAACAAGGAACCAATCGTATACTTCTAGTTCAGAGTAGCAAGAAGATGTTTTAATAGCGTACACTCAGAGTAAACTAGTTCAGTTAAAAAAACAGGTCACTATAAAAAGTAAAATGAAACACGTATGCTTGGCACTTTGTACATAAGATGGTGATGAAAGTAAAGTAAAGTCAGCACTAAATTAAATAGATAAATAAACTTCATTCAAGATCGCAGTCTTCGTTCCTCCTTACCAGCGGTCAGGAAGCAAACGACGTACCCTGGAAAGTTTATATTTAAACCTCCGGTTGAACTGCGCACGCCTAGCTGACAACTGATGTCGAACGAGTCAGTCGCTCATTTTCACTGCTTTTAAATCATTAAAATGTCATGAAGTATGTAACGGAACTCTCGAGAGACGCTCGTTTTGTCAAGTTTGCGTAGTAAGGAACGAAGACTTGAGGAACGAGTTTGAGAATCGTGAAAGTGATAAGTTTTATAATATATGATAGAAAAACAAATTACCCGTAACTAGATCATTAAAATGTCCAAAGTAAAACACCCTCAAGCTCATTATCATTATTATTATGATTTTTATTATTATTATTATTATTATTACTATTATTACTATTATTATTTTAATAATCATTTCTTACACTTACAACACTTATTACATCACTTATTCTAAGCCTATTTTTACAATAACATAAAACAAATCTTTAAGCTCAAGTTCATTATAACATTACAGTATATTATTTTTTTAAGTGGAAACTTTCCTAATAGACCTTTTTCGACTGGGCGGTTTGTTGCCCCATTTCAGACCATGTGATGATACTCTGGAGAATTCTTCCATTCAAATTTTCAAATAGTCGCGTGCATATGAATAAATAATTTTTAGAAGGATAAAAGAACAAATCTCTGGAGAATATCACGTGGTCTGTAATGGGAAAACAAACCGCCCCAAGCGAAAAAGGACTATTCTAATAAACAAGAAAATATACATACGAAAACGCATGCGCTGTCATTATAAGCGATGCCAACAACGAGGACCCAGCTGATAGATAAACGAACCAAATACAGCTTAAAACTGCGTTTCATAAATTGGCAAAGGCGATCGCCTTTTCACTTCAATGAGTCAACCTAGATTCATATCGTGGGGTTTGCAATTTGTCGGTAGGATTCAGCTATATTTTCATCATGAGGTACTGCGGAAGAGTGCATGGGGAGAAAAGTGATGCTTTCCTGTGTTCCTTTTGAGCTGAAGCTGCTGTCTCCTTTATGGCCGTGTTTACTTCTCCGTGGTCAAGGCAATCACGACACCCTACTCACAACACTGAGACGGACATTGAAGGGGGCACCTGTATCCTGAATTGGTACAGCTGGTTGGACACACTACAATCACGAAATGTAATTGAGATTTACTGAAAATGTACACGAACCTCCACTGGAAACTAACAACCAAGCTATTTTCTAGCAGTATTAAAGTACTTGAAACAAATGACTTTTTAGTAAACATTTTTAACTCGCGGACGAACAAGTGACGACAAATTCTAAGTTTCCCACAGCTCGTAATTCAATGCCACAAACGTCTCTTTTCAGTTAAGTTAAGCTTTATCTTTTGACTTTTAGAAATAATTTAAGTACCAGAATGATCGGTAGATAACAGTTCTTTTGAACCCTAACCAAGCTTCTTAAGTGCTGAATCTAGTTCTCGCACTCCTCTTAGGATGAAACTATATTGTGATGTAGGGATGTTAATAGGGACCACGAGATATTCAGGTTTATTGCCCTCACGTGTCACCCTCGCACGATGAAGTTTACTTGCCAGTCTGTATTCGGGATCAGCCATTCAAAAGGGAACGATAAATGGCATCTTTCAATCTTACATAATGATATGAATTTTCCTGATAGTTTCAGATAACGAGCCATTACTATAAAGCAATTAAAAGGAATTTGCGTGGCTTGCTTACCGGGAGTTACATGTGGCCTCTTGTCAGAATACAAATGATAGTGATAGTGAATTGATCCATAGCCTTTCCCTATCAAGAGATACAGGGAAATTGATCAAATTATCGCCTGTATTATTGTTTTATTGGAGAAATTAACCTCTGTCACTCTCAAGATATCTAAAAGGAGCGATCGAAATCGTGGGTGAATTGAATGAGAAGGAAGCCTAGTGAAAAGAGGGTGGGACGGGGAAGGGAAAGTGGAAGGTAACACTGTGGTAGCCTGGTGCCAACTTATTGAAGCTGTTATCCTGTTATCCTGTTCCCTTATCGTTCGTCTTTCAGGATTAAAGCCAAACGTGTTAAAAACCGTACGAACGACAATATACTATGCAGAATGTCAAGAAAAAAAATTTAAGCAAGGCCAGTTACCGATGGCAAGAAGTCAATAACGTTAATTTAAATACGGACCATACAGGATTGCAGCTGCCTATTGTTATCGTCTGGCTCTTTATAAAACCTCATCTTACTCAATAAACTAAGGCATATAATGACCCTAATCTCCCACCAGACTCACCGCCTTTAGATGATACTCCTGGAGCTGAAACTGGAGAACCTGGACCAACTGTAGGGGGTGAATAACTTGGTGGTGCTGCCGCTTGTGATGGAGGTGAAAGTGGAAGAGGTGGAGGAGGCGCATTTGGACGAGGAGGAGGAGGAGGAAGAGGAGGAGGAGGTTGTGCTGGAGAAGGAGGAGGTGGTGCTAGAGAAGGAGAGGGTGGTGGTGGAGAAGGAGAAAGAGGAGGATGAGGCGGCGGAGGAGAAGGAGGAGCAGGAGGAGGAGGAGAACGGGGAGAAGGAAAGGGAGGCTTTAGAAATATAGGAGGTTGCAAAGACGAAGAAGGATTGGGAGTGGATAGGTTAGTGGAGGCGTGGACACTGTGTGGGAAAACTTGAAAATTGCCAGATGGTTCGGAAGGAGCATTACCTGCAGTAATAAATCAATTGTTTTAAACTAAATTTTTATCGTCTCAGCTACACCTACACTTTTTTATTTCCTTCAAGAAAGATAATGGAAAATGTTTCATGATACTTTTCTCAGAAGTCACTGACACATCCCAGAACACTGAGCATCCAAAAAATAATCACTGCCCCAGATATTCTTGGTTTTCCATTCAAGAGTAGTTTATGCTTACCGTCTTCCCGTTAACTTAAGTCACATTCGATAATCAATCACTAATCATAATAAGCTGTTTAAAATTTAGTTAACATTGTAACGCTTTCTGTCTCACCTTGCTCTGGTGTTACAAACACGTTAACAAATTCTGGACAACCAACAACTGCTACCTCTGAAGTACTTGGTTGTCCATTCAGGAAGATTTTACGCTTGCCAAGTGGATCCTCGGCTTTGAATATCACGTGACTATGCAGTTCAGGTCGGTCTATGATGAGTTTAAGTTTAAAGCCAGAACCAGAGACAAGATATGCCTCGTGCTTGAGAGAGGAGTAGAGCTTAAATGGTGCTCTAAAGTTGTTAATGAAGTTCAAGGCGACGCACGTCTCTAAAATAGACAAGAACTGAATTTCACTAAACAATTCGGTCATATCTTACCCAGTAACATTTTTCGCCGGCCTGTTGATTAATAAATTGATTTAATTGATTTGAGTTTTGCTGGTCTTAAACGAGAGTGCACAATAAGTATTTTCCTTCCATAGCCGGGTTCCAACGAAGTCCTACGAACAAAGAAGTATCAATTATTCCAACCAAAGAAGATTCATTCAGAATTTTACGATCTGTAAAAGTGAAATTTTTGTAACATTTGCATGCTAAACGTGAAAAGACAGTAGTCACCTCCAGAAATAAACTGGCAAAATATAAGAATAGATAAAAATGTTCTCCATTGTTTACCGTCCGTTAAGTCAAGGCGGAAAAAAATTGACAAGAAACACACTTTTGATGATTTTACATGTGCTAATGTGTCACAAAATATGTGCAAGTCTAGAGTTTATCCTGCTGTGCTTGATTTTATACCTATTCGGTTTGAGACGTTTATTTTCATTCTAGATAAGATACACCCAATATAATGACTATACTTTTAGAACTTGTGATTGAAGGCTCCAAAGGAAATCCTGGGACTGTGGATCCAGATGTTGGTGCTCCCCGCGCAGTTTCTGCAGCGGGACATACGGGTATACAGGAAGGCTGAGCAGGAACAGGTGGTATCTCCGGAACTAAGTGTTGGGGATGAGGAAGTGGCTGCCCACTGATGGCGGGATGTACAACTGGTCCAGCAACGTTTCTGCAATTCATATATTTGTTTTGGTTCTGCGATATTGGCATGAACGAAAATGTACACCGCTCAAGGACATCTGGATCACCGTTGTAAAAGTCCAGCTGAATGAGCGTGGAACCATGAAGCTTCTTATCCTTACTTTGACAAATGAACCAATCCGAGTGCATTGATTTTAGCATCAAATTTCTACTGTATTTCATCACGTTATAGACTTTGAAAGAACTCTCTTTATCTGTCAAGGAAGAGATATATAAATTAAACTCATGTCTTATTATTGTTATTATTATTATTATTATTATTATTATTATTATAGAACAATAATTAGACAGTATCTACCAAGCGATCATATAGCGGTTTTCATTCGAGTGTCGAAAATTAACTGGTTTTACTTAAAAAACTCGCGCCACTTTTTCATCCAATCAGAAGTAAAACCAAAACCAATTGTAACGCACTCGCACTCGTTTTCCCGCGCTTTGCGTCAGCTACATGTAATTGCTTCGAGTTTTGATTGGTTCACTGTATTGTCTGTGTCCTTTGTGGTTGGCTAGAGTGATTGCTTTGGTTTTGGGTCGTTTTAGTTATAAGACACTCAATTGAAAAATAGTATTGTCTGCTCAACACTGTAGCGCGTTGTTGACTGTTTCCTTATTAGAAACTCGATTTCTCAGTCTAGTTGTTGATAAAACAGCCACTTAATTGTTATGTTACACGAGCTGTTTTTGTTGTTGTTGGTTTTAGGCACTCTGCAGTTAAGGTTTCAAATTAATATTAAACTGCAGGCGTACTTACCATGATATTTATTTAATCATCCTAGTATCTGATTTGATATTGGTGCTATTTGTCAGGAGTAGAAAGCAAATGGATCTTAGATTTAAAAGCGATCACTAACACGTACCAAACAGTTCGGATCCATCCCTTTTCTGGAGAATGAAGTTATAGTTCTTCTGTCTCATGAAATATCCCGGTAGGCAAACTGACTCAAAAGAAGCACTCTCTTTCCCTGGTTTAATCTTTTTGTATAGTGCAGGCATTCGAACTTTGAATACTTGACAAAACGGTCGCAGAGCTACCTTGCCATTAAAGGATCTCCAACAGAAGTTAAGGGAGCCATTCTCCTGCGGATACGGAACGTCCCAGGAATGGACAGTGTACAATCCATCTTGTACAACTTATAAAAAAAAAAAATACACGAGAAAGAAATATTAGATATATATTTATACCATTTGAATTTTTTTCTTGCATTTCTTACAACTATTTTAAATTAATTTTCTATAACGTATTTTTGTACCGATATTGGTTCCTTATACTAACATACTAAACGGCGCAATTACGAAAAACGTTTCTCATTATCAAAAATCCCTTTTCTCTGAGTTTCCTCAAAGTCCAAATCTGGAATATGTAAGCATTTATTTAATTTAACTATGACTAAATTTTACTTTTGGCACTACATAACTTATCTTATGTACGAAGATTACACTAGATTCATTGATGAATAAATATCTTTAGTTGTTTAATCATCACGTTTCTATCATGCGTTTTGGCCATAGTGATAAGTTACAATAAAATTTACACTTAAGTCTAAAACATTCCTCCGTAGAGAGAAAAACTGTGCTTTTATACTGTATGTTTGCACTCTATTCGGGTAAAAGAGCATGCTTCAAATTCATTGCTTAAAACATGGTTACGTCAGCTGCCTCACTTTTAATGCATTTTTTACCAAAACGCGTCCTCTACTGTCGATGCATTTTAAAATATCTTTGTTGGCTAACGAAATTTGAAAGTGGTTTGAATATTTCAAAGCTTCGGTCAAGTCATTGTTGGTAGATAGGTCAATACGTATGGGGCTACAAACTAGGCATTCAAAAAAGCCGTTATCAACTCACGCTTGCTTGCGCCTCCTTGTCTCCATACTAGCTTCCTGGCCATAGTTTGAGCATCCTCACCCGGCTTTAACATGTACGTAACTTTTTCTTGAACAGAAGATGCTATCGTTTGAGGAGCGCCTTCATTGCCGCCACTAGTCGCACCAGTTGATTCAGTCCCCCCGCTAGAAGTTACTTGCGATCCTGCTGCAGTTACAGAGGCTCCAGTCACTACCCCAGATGAAGATCCCGCTGCTGTAACCCCCGCCCCTCCAGAAACCCCACTACCAGTTGTTGCTCCACCACCAGCACTAACACCAGCACCAGCACCAGCACCAGCACCAGCACCAGCACCAGCACCAGCACCAGCACCAGCACCAGCACCAGCACCAGCACCAGCACCAGCACCAGCAC